TCCTAGTGAAGTTCTATCTAAAATTCTAATACTTGGAAATGGATCAATGTATTATTCTGGCTTTTGGACTTCTTGCACGGTCTCACTTTATTTCTCTTCAAATAGATGTGTTACAACCATGTCAGGATAGTTTACCTATACCAATAGTAAAAGCAGGCTGAATGCAAGAGTAAAGTATAAATTTAATTCAGAAAAAGGGTGCTTCGGTTTTCTCATGTCTGCAAATCATTTTTGTAATGAAAGCACCTGGATTTTGCATTGCTTCATTATCTTACCTTACTCTTCCTGCTAGGAAAAAGTCAATGAAGTATCTCATTTTCGCATATACCTGCTATAAAATGCATCATATGCATCACCATCATCCTTTGATAACTATAGGCTCCCTGTTTTCACTAATGATATGCCAATTAAAAGAAAAAGCAAGTAACCATATCCTCTCTTGTTGATGTCTAGATTGGATACTAGGCTATTATCTTCGAACTGAAGTTTTATACTTCTTTTGTTTTCATAGTAGTGTGTCCACCAGTTTCCCAAATTTTATGGTTTTTCATTCGCCAGTCTTTAAATTCCTGTTTCTGAAACATTTGAACTAAGATGAAACCTGCTCGGCACAATCCTTTTGGAGCTCTTCACAATCCTTGCTTGATTTTACCACCCTGAATAGTCTGGTATCAACAGCAAACATGGCTAATTCATTGATCAGCTCTACCTCCGCACCATTTATACACAAGTTAAAAAGCATTGGTTCCATCACTCATCCCAGGGGGAACCCTCTTTGCACATCTTGACAGTATGAGAGTCAAGAAAAGACTTACCTGTGAGGAAGTCATACTGTTTCCTTTTCAGCAAGGTTTATTCTTCTACGTGCTTAGTAATTTCCTGTTTAATAATTTTCAACCGTTACTGTATCTTCAGAATTGGTGTTAAGCTCATTGTATCCTTTATCATTCTTAGATATTTTAAAAGATTGGGGTCACACTGGCTATTTTCTAGCAACTTTGAATACTTTTTTGAGAAGGTCAGCAATTTCAAGTTGTTCAAGTTGTTTTAAGAACTCTGGATGAATATTGTCTGAACCTGGGGCCTTGCTTATATTTAGATTGTCAATTTGGCTTCTAACCTCAACTCTCATTAACTTTTTTTTCAGTTTGTCAAATTTTCCTCCTGAAAATGCCAGCTCAGGCACAGGTGTCTGTCCTACATTCTCAGCAATGAAGCAGAAACAAAACATTCATCTAATTTCTGTGCTATTTCCCTGTCCTCCTTTAGTATTCCTACACTGCCCCTGTGATGCTACAGACCAATTACTTTACTGGTTGGTTCCTATTTTAATAAATATAAACATTCTGCCCTCCACCTCAATTTTTTGTAACATGTTCTTCAAATTATTTTCCCCCTCTTTTTAAGTGGTTGAATATCTTTTGCCAGAGCTTAGTTCCTCATCTTAATTGGTACCACTGACCTGCATGTTAGCCACACTGGTGGTCTTCCTGGAATGCATAGTGCCTTTCTTGACTGAGCCAGATATTTTAGTTGAGATTCTATTACTGTACTTTTGAATAATTTCCAACATTGTAGACAGAATTAACCATCTTGACTCTTAACTTCTTTTTCACCAATCCTCTGATTTTTTTGGAAACTATTCTGAAGTTAGCTGTTACTGTGCTGAAATTTTTTGCAAGAATTCACTTACATGCATGTTGAAGATTATAGCACTATGATCATTCCTGGTGTATTGATGTTATTGGACTAGCACTGCAAAGCAGATATGCAATGGAAAATTTAGAATTAAAGCTTGTGAAACCCCTTAATTTTTCATGTATAGCATACATAGCAATAAAATATTTTTATTTTATATGAAGAGCACCTCTTTCTGAGTTACCTATGCATAAAAAATGAAAGTAAAAACATATACTTACAAATATATACTTTCAAAAAAAAATTCATTTAATTTCTCCAAACATAAAATTACATTCTTAATGGGGATTGAAGTTTAAAAGTTACTATGAGCACCAGAACATTATAGATAAAAATATATATCCTAGAATAAAATTATTCTGAAAATTAGAACAAGTCTCAGAAAGCTCGCTAGGATATCAACAGCATATTCATGATAGTTTACTTAACAAAACAGAATTGAGCCTAAGTATTTCAGAATGATTGTATTTAAGAACCACAGAGTTAAAAATAAATCAATACATTTTCCATTCCTACTACTAGAATTTCTGGCTTTTCTCAAACTGGAGGCAATACTCCCAGTCATTCAGTAACATATACCCAAATCCCAAAGTCAATTCTTGCCATTAATTTAAGAACTTTTTATATTGATTATGATTACAGTATATATCCAGTCTTCTGGATTCAGGCATTTGAGAAAGTCACTATTTATTTATTGGAGCTTAGAAACAAGTATTTTAAAGATGGGAGTTCATAGATAAACTCCATTTGCTTAACACCATGACTATTTGGATAGAAAGGTTGCACTACATCTTTGAAAAATAATTAGGCCAGGAATTTTAGAGAATTGTTACTTATATATGAAGAACAGCCATCAAGAATGTGCTCCCAATTTGTAATCAACTGCGGGTACAGTTTTCAATTATTAATACTTTCAAGGCCTGGCAGTTGTTACCTCCAACTCTTGGAGTCAATTCAGAATATTCATAACTATTAAGAATAATTCCACAATTTACTTCAATCACTTGAAGATTTTTTGCTCAGAAAATATACTGCATAATTACACATGAATTAATTAAACTTCATGTTATATTTCCCAAAATCATGTGACTCAAGGCAGCTGGAAATGGTATCACTCTGTAGCATTTTGGGGGACGGAAGTTGTTCCCGATGTCACATTCCAGACAGTAGCTACCATGCCCCCTGACTAAATAGATAACCAATAGTGAACATGTTTATATTCTGACTCACCATTTTTACAACAAGTGACATCTTTACTGCCATTTACTGTATATGATTTTCATTTTGAATTTATCTTAAATTATTGGATTCTAGTTTGTATATTAATTTGTTCAGATTTCCTTGTTGATGTTCTTTTACACCATTAAAAACCTTAAGTATTGGTTCCTTATTCTGCAGCTTGACCCACTTTTCTTATCTGTAAACATGACAAGTATGTCACTTTCTCTTTGCACTGGCCTCCTTCATTGTATTATTAGCATTTCTAACTAAAAAAATATGTGGATGTTTTCATTGGGCTTCTCTTGCTTCTCATTCTTTAATTTCTGTTATTCTAGAGCTCCATTGAATTCACTTTTGTGTGAGACATGGTTACAATTGCAATTAATATCACCCTTCCTCCATTCCTGTTCCTTACCACCATTATTTTGTCTGAAGCTTATATAGATTATTATTTCTACTTTATACTCTACAGCATCCAGAAGAAGTGCTTTTTCTAAGCATTTAGGAAATCATATTAATAGCTAAATAATAATATAGATGCTATAACAATGGAATTGTCAAAACAGCTAACAAAATTAAAATTATCTGACCTCACAATATTTCGTTTGCAAAAAACAGCTTTGCTTGGAACCACAGATATATTATGGCAGTATTTGGATTGTTCATAGACTTTGGGATAAAGCTTGAATTTTCCCTAAATTATTAGTATTTGCTGAATATTCTTGAGAAGAGACCATATAACAACAATAAATATCTGGTCTGAAGTAGAATAAAACAAAATTCTTTTATCATGAATTTTAAATATTTAATTTATAACTTACACCTCTGGCTTAAGAGACCATTGTATGTCAGGATAGTAAAGAAGCTTAATGGTAATCTCTGGTTTTTCAGTTAGACAAATGGCGAGAATTAATTGTACTATACTGAAATATATATCCATGTAATATTTTTCAGCACAGTTTGTACATAATTAGTTTTAAAAAAACAAAACACTTGATGCCTCATAGTTGAATGTATGAACTAACCTCACTGGAAGTATTTGCTTTACATGAAGTACAAGGATATTCTGTGTTTCTTCATCTGTGATGGCACTTTTAAACGTGGTATTGATCAGTAAATACTGCCAAGAAACTATGAATCCATGAGAGATGCACTTTGTAATAATAAATGACCCCTCCCACGCATTGGATCTAAATGCCCAATTAAAGATCAAGGGGCTGATTCACATAATCATATTTATCATTCATAACCCCTTTGCGACATAAGCAAGGTCATTTTCCACATTGCTTGGTGTTAGTGGAGGAGATGTAACGGATCCACAACTGGTGCTACTCTAAATCAAGGCGGGCAACCTTTTCAATATCTTTTATATCTAACCATTTGAGAAAATCTGTATCAGTAGTAGGTGGAGGTTTGGTTTTTTTTTTTTTTTAAATATTTCTGTTTCTGACCCTCTCTTCTCTCTATCTTCTCTTTTTCCCTCGTCCTCCCACATACAGCTGACTAGGAAATTAGGTTGATGGTCACAAAACATTAACAACAGCAAAACATACAGCCCTGAAGTGCTCCCTGCACACGCTCACTTTCTTTCTCTCTCTTTCTCTCAGAACCAACTATTCTTGGTTCTATATACAGACATAGGTAGAAAATTGAAAATTTGTCTTAAGTTTCCTTAATGTTAGCTCTTAGCAAACACTGCCAGTCAATAGGGCAAACCATTGAGTCTTCTGAATAATTTGATAGACATCCACAAATAAAAAGACAGCTAAATTGTCTTTGCTGCAAAACTGACCACCATGGGCACTGCGTACATTTCTCTAACAAATTTCTCCCAATTATCCCATTTATCTTAAAGTACATAGTACATTTTACCATAAAAACATCTCTCAGGAAACTCCTGCAATGATTTCAAAAGGTGGAAAGCTGAGACTCAACATGACCATTATATGCAATAAGTACTGGATACAAAGAAAATTCCAAAGATCATGAATTCCAATGATCATGAGAAAAAAATTACACTGAATTTCAAAGATTATGAGAAAAAAATCTTTCAACTGAATTTAAGCATTTAATATGTGAACCATCTCTACAGAAACCATTAAGTGTGAGGTGACAGTCTATGTATGTGAGTTTCATACATACCAGGTATTAGTTGAAGTTAATCAGTGAAGATTCACTGTTTGACGAATAATCATTCATGAATCTGCTCAACTTTGTATACAGATTGCAAATACAGAATTAAAGTACAAGGCCATCTTAACAGACATTAGAAAAAACAATCTGACATGTTTTAATATGCAAATGTTTTTTCACTTCAAAATATAATAATAATTAGAAGATCAAAAAACTGAGAATGAATTATTGTTGCTACAGTTTTATCAATTTTAGACAGTAAACCCAAGACTGTACACAATCTGCATTCTTTAATCCAGATTTGTCTACTTCCTTGTCTCACAGCTCACATACAAAATAGGGAATAGAAATCCTTAAAAAGGAAAGAAAAAGTAGCAAAGAAAACAAAATATGATAAATCCTAAGACCCAGTTGATGGCATAAATGTAGATTATCACCATGTCCATGTCAAATCGCCATCCCCGGCTATCATCCTCAAAGTCCATATAATCCATTCGGTGAGCGGCATGTGGAAAATGCCTTCGGGTAAAGGAGTCTGTGCTCTGAAAACCTGCTGGATAAATATAAACGCCATAATTTGAAAAGACAGCTGAGGGAAAATAATTTGGTTTTATAACTTTTTAAACTTTTTTGTGTAAAAATCCACCAAGAAAAAGAGAGAAGGAAACTTGTGTGGGTTTCTCAGATTACTTTTACTAGAATCCAAGCATGGAGTAGGAAAGACTCATAACTTTCGGTCAAAAGTAACAAGGTCCTCATAAGATAAGTGGAAATGTTAACTGCAAGAATGCAAAGTAGTTGCAAAGAATTACTATAAGTGCTTGGGAGCTGTTAACACACAGCGCTTGGAACCAGTTTTTCTTTACGTAATGGTTAAGCTGAAATAGCAGTTTAGCTACAACTTCTTAGGCCCTTCGTTTAAACTAAAGGTTCCATTGTGCAAGTTAAGCGTGATCTCATTTTATCCACCCCTCGTTATATATTTTAATAGATGTATGAATTAACCCAATCAGTAAGGTTAACCTTATCAATCACACTGATGATAATATCCTATTGTTGCTACTAACTGTAATCATAGTTACAGTTAGTAGCAACATTATAGTAATAGAATAGTAATGTAGTAGAAATCAATTAAATGATAGTAATAATTTGCTTAAGTCTATAAAGAGGGCTTGTAACCAACCCACTTTAGGCTTCTCTTTCCTTGCGTCTGGTACTGAATCTGTCAAAAAATCAATTTGGTATAATAGTGTCTTGGTCTCTAGTGAAACGTACCCTTTGAAAAAAGAAGTTTTCCTTCAGGGGTGATGCATATCAACATGCAATATCCATCTTTAAATCTCCACCTTGGGCCAAATAAGATATTCACTAGAAGTTCTGACCTGGTGTCTGGAAGCTGTCAGGGTCTGAATGGTGAGAAACACCTATTCATTTGATCCATCCCAGGCAACCGATGGATCCAATGTGGTTTCAAAGGGAAATTGGTTTTTTTTCCTGAAGCTCTGGTGTGTGTTTCAGCCAAGGCCTTGGTTGCAGCTTGGAATGAAGCGCATTATCTGGACCCTTTTCACTCAGGGTTCAACTGGGTTATGGTACAGAGATAGCATCAGTCACACTTGTGGATAACCCCTGGAATGTTGGGATGTGGGTGGTGCAATCATCCTAGCCCTCCTAGGTCTCTTGGCAGCCTTTGATACCATCAGCCAGGGTATCCTCTTGGATTGGCTTCAAGGACTGGGAGTGGGGGGCACTGTTTTGCAGTAGTTCTCCTTCTTCCATGGTGGTGGGGGGAAGGCCTAACCCTAGGCCCCTGCAATGTGGGGTACCTCGTGGTTTGGGTCTCTCACTGCTCCTCTTTAATATCTACATAAATTATCTGGGTAAGGTCATTTGACAACACAGAGTGCAGTATCATCAGTATACTGATCATACCCAATTGTACATCTTCACCCCTGGCCGGGCAGATGATGCTGTTCAGGTACTGATCCAGTGCCTGGAGGCTCTGAGGGCCTGGATGGGGAGGAACCAGCTCTCACTCAGCCCTAGTAAGACAGACTGGCCTTGGGTTTTCAGCCCTTCCGGATCTGGTGAAACGTCATCTCTGATTCTCGATGGGGTTGCACTCCCCTATACAGAGCTGGTGTGCAACTTGGGGGTCTACCTGGGGCTGCTCTTGAAGATCACCCACAAGTTACAACTAGAGCAGAATGTGGTGGCAAATGCACTTACACATGCCTCTTAGCTTGCCCACATTACACCACTGCTGCATGAGCTGCATTGGCTTCCATTTTCTTTCCGGGGTGAGGTTATCTGCAGAACTGCCTCTCTCTGAGGATATCTGCCTATTGCACCAGGTTAGTTAGGGTGGGCATGCTCCAGGTCCCTTCCCTAAAATGTTGTCATCTAGTGGGACCTAGGAAGTGCGCCTTCTCAGTAGCAGTTTTCACCCTGTGAAACACCTTCCCCCAGAGACCTGGCAGGTCCCTACCCTTCTAGTCTTAAAAAACTGGCTTTCCCCCCAAGTACTGGGATAGCGTGAGGCTGGTGCCCAGTGATTGTGACTGTTTATGTATTGGGGAGTGTGGTTTTAGAGCACCAAGAGTTGGGTTTTTTGGGGGAGGGGGAGCTCATTTTATTGCTTATTTTGTTTTTATTGCTGTGGTTGTGAGCCGCCCAGTTATGATACATAAGATGGGTGACCATATACTGTATGTTTCATTAACAAACAAACAAACAAACAAACAAACAAACAAACAAACAGGTTCAGACTCAACCTATACAAGACAGAATGACTATTTCTTTAGAAGGCTGTTGACTCTGGGGCTGTACCACCTTAATGGAATAGTGGAGAGCAGGCTGGCAATTTGGAGGTGCTCCTGACCTCATGGCTCCTACTGGAAAAGCAGATGGAGACCATGGTGAAGAAGCCTTCATCTGGCTCCCACT